CTCTTAGGAAATCACTTCATTTTGATATTTTTTTTTGCTAAGTAATAAATCAAGCTTTGATTATTTTATATACATGTTGTAAATATATATATATATTTTTTTTTTAATAAATTTAAAAATTCTTTATTTGTATTTATTTCATCATTATAAAATAATTGAAATGAATCAATTTTTAAAAATTTATATGTCAAATAAAATGTTAAATTTTATATATTCAAAATAGGAATGAAATAATAGATAGATATCAATTTTCATATTAAAAGGATTACATGATTATATTGTTTTTTTGTTACTTAAAAAAATGATTGTAAAATGATATTTGATCATATATATATATCATAAAATTTATTAGTCGAGTCTTTTTCGTTAGATAAGTAATCTTGTATATTTGCAATTCGTATAATTGACAGGATAATCCGATAAAACTTAATGATATGCATAAATAAATATGATAAATAAAGATATTATAAAAAGAGCAAATTTTATATTCAAAATTAGTATTATTGAACATGAAGTTTTTTTTTATATGTATCTAAGATAATCATAATTTTTGTCTATACTTATAGATGAATATTTTCTTTTTTCGATTATATCAAGAACTAATTATTTAAAAGCAAAGCTTTTTTTTTTTTTGTTATCTTTTCAAATATACTTCAGATTAAGAGCACTCATCATATAGAATCACACACTTTTACTATGAACTCTTTTACAGTAATCGTTTTGTACAAAGTATAAAAGAGAAAAGAAAATATTCTATTCATTGTGGTATGTAGTTAAATCTTCGAAAGTGATGATTTGACTTAATAGAGCTTCCTGTAGTGAAAATCATATGTATTCATATTTGTCTTATCAACATATGGATTTGATCAATGAATCTTTTTTTACATGAAATTTACGATAAAAAGTAAACTCTATATGATTAAGATTATTTTTTTTTTCAGTAGGCAAAAGAAAAAAGTTGTTAAACCTTGATTGAAATCTATTAACCTTGTAGAAGAAATGAAGCAATAATGTAGAAACTTCTTTTATTTTTTTTTTCATAAAAAAAAAAAAAAAGTAATATAATGTTTATTTTATATTATACGTTTGGTGCTTTGATTAACCTTGAATATCGTTTCATAATCTTTTGTATTTAAACTATAATTAGAAAATTGAAGAAAATATATATATAGTAGTTAAATAATTATAGTTGATCGTCATTTTTACAAATCATATGTATATATATATATACGTCAATGATGGAAGTATCGTGAAGATGTTTATCACACTATGGTTTGAATATGATATTATGATATTGAACATTGTGTATGTTGAAATATGCAATTTGACACCTTGCAAATTTTCATCGGAAAGAAAGTAGAAAGTGAGTCGTAGTCAAATTTGCATATTATTATTTTCTTTCGCTCAGTGTGTCATTTTTTACGAAAGTGAACCTTTTCTTTTCGCCTTACGCGTGCAAGCATATGTACATATATATATATATATGGTATTAAATTACGTGAGCATAGATCGAACTCTAGTGTATATTTGTTATTTTTTACTCCTCTCATATTTGTTATACTATCATTGTCATTATGATGACCATCATAGAAGAAGAAAGAAAGAAAGAAAGAAACGATCTAGTAATATCGGTAGGCGTAGTCACTTTATTCTACTCTTCCTATTCATTGGATCATAATGATGCCTTATTTGATATGTAACCTAAATTTTACATTATATATTTGTACGATCAACTTTTCATTAATAAGCGATAGAAAGCTAAACAATGTTCATGCTGTATAAGAAAAAAAAAGAAAAAAAAAAGAAGAGAGAATCCAAGGTAATATACGTAGCATAGATGAGCACGTTTATTACATGTACGTGTATACGTTTACCTTTAAAACTAATATAGTTAATGAACAAAAAAAAAAGAAAAATGTATATTTCGTTCATTTTTTTTTTCCTATACGCTCATTCTTTTTTTTTTTCGTATGATTTGTATTGTTCGTTTTGTGAGTATGAATGCATAGGTAAACTTTAAGAGACAAAGATGTATCTTGAAGATTTTCTATTAGGACATGCTTATATATAGATCTATTTTCGTTATGTTATATATATTAGGATGAGTGGATGCGTATTTGTCAAGTATTTGCTTTTACTTCTTTTTTTCTTTTTTTTTTCATGTAAAAAACAAACAGTCAAGCAAAGCAAAAAGAATTTACATTATGTTATGTGGTAAGATTCTTCTTTTTTTTCTCGTTCTTCTTTTTTTTTCTGTTTCATCTTCTTATGTTGTCCATCCTCTCGTTTGCACAACACTAATACATCCGAAAGTCAAACATACCATCATTTTCTTTTTTTTTCAAAGACGTCTGCCAAATCAATTTGTCGTCTATTCTTTTCTTCTTTTTTTTTTTCTTTGATGCATTCTTTGCCTTGAATCGAATATAGAAAGAACAATGTGAGTATAGTAGACAATAAAACCACAAATATTCTAACATACGGTACCATATTGCTATACTCTATTGTATTTTTCTTTTCATGATATTGACAACGTTTTTTTTTTTTTCGATTTGTTTCTCTTACATCTATAAACTCATTCTGTTATACTAATATTAAATAATGAGTGGAATACTATGTAAGTTGCACTTTAAAGGTTGTTTAGTTTATAAACAAATATGTACAAAGTAAAAAATGTGTCAGTTTTAGGTCTTTTTCCATTAATAAGAAAACGAATATCTATATGTATATATACATATTTGTTACTTTTGAGTAAATTGCTAATAAGAGGGAATGCGACAAAAAGAAAAAGACGTCTAACAATAAGTGAACTTGAATTCAAGGTCTCATGTCTTTGCATATCATCATCAGTTGGTTGATTTTTTTGAAAGACGAGTAATGTAAAATATACTATTGATGTAAGGAAAGAAAAGAATATAATAACTACTGCTACATATACTCAACACATTTTTTGTTCATGTTCATCATCATTTCTTCTTTCTGGTTTTTTTTTGCTCCTCCTATAATCGTCGTTAAGATGAGAAGAAGAAGAAAAAAAAAGTGTCGTTCGCCTTTATGCCAATTTTTACCGTTTTTTTTTTCTCTTCCTTTTTCTTTACACCCATTCATTCATCCGTCTCTATCAGATCACCTTTTCTTTTGTCTATTTTTTTTTTTCTGAAGGTATTCGGATCTATATATACATACGTATATATGTATATATATATATAAACGTATGTTTGTCGTTATAATGTAACCAATTTAATCGCAAACAAATTCGTACGGTTTGATTTGTTATTATTTTGAAGGATATTTATATCTGAATATTCTTCTTCTTTTTAATAATTTAATTTGATTTGACATTATTTAAGTAGTACGTGATTAGTGTCTCAGATTAGTTCCGTATGAACCTAAAGTTTTTCTTTCTTTTTGTTTGGTATAATGATCGATTTTTTCTCGATTAAATAGCGTAAAATCATCATTAACCTTTTTTTTTTTTTGTAATAAACGTATGCATGATGATTGTGATTTATTATGAATTCGTGTAACCTTGTGAGAGTTTTTCTAGGTAAGTAAAAGAGAAGAAATGTACTTGACAGTTCCCCCCCCCCCCTCCTCAACGATTAATACTAAAATGAACAATCGTTTTTTTTTTCTTTCTTAGTTAAGAAAAGATACAAATGTATTCTAAAGTTCGAGAGATAAAACATCGATGAATTGTATATGTTTGTTAATCCTTTCTAAGCCGTAAAATGCTACACTATTTCGTTTACATGTCATTCAGATACAAAATTAGTTCAGTTGTTTTTTTGTTATAGGAAACAAATTTTTTTTTATATGTAAAAGTTTTTGATACTTAAGAAGAAGAAATGTAAGTTTACTATTTGTAATTGACAAATATTTTTTGTTTAGTATTATTATATAGTTATAATTATATTATAATAAATTTTTCTTCTTCTAATTTGATATAGAATAATGACCTTAACCTTAGAAAAATAATTCGATTTGAAATTTTCATAATTACATTTAAAATATCAAATATCGACATATAAAAAAAAAAAAGAAAATATTTCAACATTCTTTATTGAAGTATTTTTGATGAATGAATAGAAAAACTTACATAACTTGAGTTACATTCCAAATAGTAAAAAAAAAAAAATAATTTGAAAAACGATCGATATTATCTAAAATATGTTTTTTTTTCTCGTCGTATTGAAGTATGGCGTTATTACTTGATCGAATCTAGTTTTTTTTTTTTTTTATTATTGAATGATTCTACTCTATTCGATATAATGTTGTTCGGATGATTTATATTGAAAATAAAACATCACGTCCTTATAAATTGTTAATGAAAAATTACTGTGATGTTGTGATTATTGAATAGATATCGTTATGTATGTTATATTTAAGGACACAAAAAAAAAAATTATTTTTGTTTATTGAAATTTAATTATTATTATTTTTTTGTTTTTTACTGTTCGAAATCATCATTTATAGATAACTTCTATTGATTAGTTAGTTATTAGAAAAAATATAATCATTTAGTTTTTTTTTTTTTTTCTTTTTTTTAAAGATATAAACATATTCATGGTTTCATTATTTATCGATTTGTCTTCTTTTTAAATGACATATGACACTTGAAAAAAAATCTATACAATAGTTTTTAATTGATAGATTGTCTGAAGAAGTTTTCTTTTTTTTTTTTTTTATTATTATTGAATATTGAATACAAACGAAAAACAAAAGGTTCACTTTTTGATTTCATTCGTAATAATAATAATAAATAGATTAATCTTGTTAAGTTTAATCAATATCTTTAAAACTCATTCATATGACATTTTTGACATTAAATTTACTATCTTCTATTCATTAAAATATGCTTCGTTACTATTTTCTTTTTGCATTTATATCCATTCAATCTTTATTCTTTTCGTTCTAGTACGATGCACTCATCATCAATATTGTCGTCGTTTGCATTGATAATTAGATAGGTATCTATCTTCACTTGTCGCTCATCAACCATGAAGGAATATACATACGAGGTCGACCGTTCGTGGGAGAAACAACGACGACCAGTTGTTATTGACCATCATCAACGTCAACGTCATCAACGACAACCTATAGGAGACGACGCTGCTGTAGACGCCGACGCCAGTAGCATGAGTGGTATGTATAAGCACTTGTAATCAGTCGCGCCGTTCAATGTTTATTTTAAGCTTAGAAATAAGAAAAAAACATAAGAACAGGTTGTCGTTCTATACATATATATATAGGTATAATGTTGTTGTCCTTTGTCACATGTATATATGAGTTGATTACAAATCTATTACAATGAGATTCGGTATGCTGTTAACAGGCTTCATGTACATCCATCAATAAAAAGTACAAAGAAAGAAAGAAAAAACGAAATAGAGAGAGAGAGAGAAAGAAAGACAAAAAAAGAGAGAGAAGAATAGAGAGCAAAAAAAGCGAGAGAGAGAGAGACGAACATCTAGGTCTTCGTCGCCGCCATGATTACTAATGGAATGAAGAGCTTTGCTAAATAATGAACGACATCAACAAGTTGATATACAATCACTATGTAAGCTTATAAGATATTATTGAAGATTAGATTTAGAAAACAAACTCAAGGTTAGACTATAAATATATATATATTCCTTTACTTAAGCGATAATTGCTTTCACGTATATCTATTTCATATACGCATATATCACTATGACCAACTGTCAATTTTGATATTTGTTCGTATTGAAAAAATATGAACAACGAATATGAACAGAGGATTTAATGAGTAAATCGAAAGGACACGATCAATAATATTCTCATATTCAGTGTATAAAATATAAAAGAAAAAAAACGAAGAAGAAGAAGAAGAAGAAGCGAAGAAAAAAAAAAAAAAAGAATCTCTCTTGCTTTCATTTCGTTACTCTACTTGATTTTTTACTTATCATCAAATATGGTAACTGTACAAACTTCTTTTGGTATGTAGACTATTATGAGAGAACAAAAAATGTGCCATTGATTATTATTTATGTCGATGAACTAGTGATCTAATTACAAAAGAGAAAGAGAGAAATAAAAAGAAAAGAATAAAGATCGGTAGTAATCGATCCACATACTTCGATAGACAGATGGTCTCAATTTATAAGAAAGCTCAAAATGAACATCCACATATTTTCTTTCTCGTGACATAGAGATAATCACTTGTATATGTATTCAGGTCATAGATGTACAATGATGCAATAGGTATAAATATGCTCACACGCGTAAGAAACAAAAAAGAAAGAAAGTAAGAACTACTGTATTTGTTCATGACTTAACATAGATCGGTGAACTCTTGTCATAGCCTATTTAATATATTTTGACATGAACGAGTCAATATTTTTACAGTTATTTATTTATTTTTTTTTCTTGTCTTATCAGATAGATTATCTAAATATAAATATCGATCTATTGATCATTTTAGATCTGTTCTTTTTTTTTCTTGTGTTAATTATAAATAGGTTCTTTGCTTTAGTGTAACCTTCGAGATTCATTTCATCATTTGTATTGTGTATTCTTTTCTTAAGAATAAGTAATACAAAAAGAAAATAATCGATGTATATTGTACAAGAGGAACAAGTGAAGTGGACATAATAAGAGGTTCATACAATACAAAAAGAGAAAAGCTTGATGCGACTTGCTTAAACTAAGGAAATGTAAATTTGATCATCGAGAGTCACTTGTGTTCTCTCACCTACATTCACTCCGGGCTTCCTTTTCGTTTTTATTTCTATGTTCCTTTCAAATGAGAGAAAGAGACAGAGAGAGAGAGAGAGAGTTTATGTCATATTGACGATATAAAAAGAATAAATGAAATCCTTTTCTGCAACGAAAGCAGAAGAATAGTGTACGAATGACATAACAATACTTTTACTACTACAACTTCCAACTCGACTTAACAATTGAAAAAATTGAGGTAGTGAAAAAGAAGGAAATAAGTAACGAAGAACACTTTCACTTAATTGAACAAATATTGGAAGAGAAAGTTAACGAAAATAGAAATGTTAAATATTAGTCAAGATCATAATTGTTGATATTCGATACGTGAAATTAGTTCAATCAATTGATAATGACGTATAACAAACAGATATTGTCGATTAAAATATCGAGAAGGTATTGGTAAGAAAAACTTGAAAAATAAAACTCTCTTTTTTTTTGTTTTCTTTAATTTTTCAATACTTATTTCTACGTACATAACATTGCGGATGAGATTAATGTAGAATTTAATCCTTTTTGTAATATACATTTTCTTTTACATAAGATAACTGATGTAACTAACTAGTATTACATAGGAATGAAATGATATTATTGAATTTTTTCTTTTTCTATTAGGATTTGTAGATCAAAATTAGTTTTTTTTGTTAATTAAAAAAAACTTTTTGAGATACAAAGAAATGACGTCATTTTGACTGTTATTCTTCTAGTAGAACAAATATATAGTTCAAGCTTTTTTTTTTTTTTCTAGAAATGATAATGATTTTTTCATCAGACTTAATGGATATTCAATGAGATAATATTCTACATCTGCTATGAAAAGCGAGAAGAAGTCATGCTGATTTTCCCAAAAAATATGACCTCTGCATACATTGATATATCCTTTCCATTCTTTCGTGTCCGGCAAATATGCAAGATTGACTTTTATCGACGCATTGAACAGCGCATATAAACAGTATACACTTGCTTATACTGACGGATAAGCCTTCTCTTTTTTCTTCCTCGTTAACCAGTAGGCAAGACTACTAAGCATCAGATTATTTCTTTCCTTAACTTCTATATATATATCTTTTTCTCTTGTTTCTTCCTGTTCTTTTTCCTATGTGTTAATGAAAGGAAAAAAAACACCTACGTTTACTGGTATATTCCGAATATCTGTTCTTTTTACTGTTATTACCCTTTACTAAATAATGAGGATGATAATGAAAGATATCTTTCTATCGTCATCGACTATACTCGTTGTTACTCATATTTGACTGATAAAGAATAAATAGTAACTGAATTTCTTTGTTGTTGTTATTGCTGTATGTCGTGTTCTCAGATTCTTATCTGTCTAGTAAAAAAAAAAAAAAAAAACGAGTTAGAGACATAACTAATACTACTACTAAAGAACAACAACAACAATAATAACAACCAACAAACGGCCCATTAGCCTATATAAAGAAGTTATTAGATAGGAGAATTTCCTTGATAATTTTCTTTTTTATCGATTATCATGGAACTTGTTGAACGACATGTACGCCGACATTTTCAACGTCTTAGAAGTAAGCAAATGGTTATTTTGACATATTAATCAAACTATATAATTCATATAATGAAACAATTATAAAAATCAAGATATTTAATTGAAAAAAAAAAGAAACTTCTCTGTAATAAGTGTTCTCTCCTTTTCACCTGTATAATATATACAATATGTCTAGTGAGCAATTCATATGTTATTGTATACTTAAAAAACGATTTTCAGTTAATTTGTCTCTTTCATATGAACAAATAGTGGTCAAAAGACTTTTACTTTTCAATATAAAATAAAACAAGAGCATATTAGACTTTTTATTAAATTATATGAACATCATTCATTTTTATTAGCTATTGTCTATTTAACAAATAATGAAAAATGAGCTTCATTAATAATCTAATAATGTGTGTGCGTGTTTTTCTTCTTTGTCTTCTTGTTGTTGTTTTTTTGATACATATATGTGTGGTTGATAGTTAGAGAACATAAGAAAAAAAAATACTGATAGAATAACTCAACGGTACTATGCCATATTGACAGATAAACTATAAATTTGTATGAAAATACTTTTTGTGCCTATCAATATAATTCGTGAACGTCATGCTATTTTATATGGTTGATAGTAATTTTTCCTAATGAATACAGAAAGAGAGAGAGAGAGAAAAGAGGAGGTGAGAGAAAATGACAGTTGCAATTATATGACTGTCTCGTCTTCTTTCGTTTTTTTTTGTTAAATGTTTGTCTTTTACATGTCTAGAGACGACGTCAGAGTCCGGTGTCAGCGATCTTGAAACAAGTATGACTGATTTCCGTTGTACATGTTGTCCTTATGGTTATCATCTGGATACGGATTTCACAAAGTTTCTTGACGATATGTATGGACCTGATGTGCTACGTACATTGAAAAAAATTGAACGAAAACGGAATGATGTACGCCGTCGTTTAATTAATGAACAGGTATAGTTCTTTTTTCTTGCTATGCACTACCATATTTTTAGACAATATTACAACATATAGAAATGTCATTTATTCAACTAAAAAGCAAAGAGAAGAAAAAAAAGAAGAAGAAAAAAGATTGAACATTTTTTATATTGAATATATAGAGAACACATTTTCATGCTTATTATCCTTGGTCTTACATATGTGCTCGTTAGTTTGTTAGGGTTCAATAATTTATGTTAAATTAAACAAATTTTTTTTTTTGCTTTACCTTGTGTCAATCTGTGACCCATCCATTCTTTTTTTTGTTCAAAGAAGCAAATTGAAATAGGAACAGATAGTTATATATATATATCGTTCATTTCTTCTTTTTCTCTTTTTTTGTCATATATATATAAAAAAAGAAGAAGGCAAAAAAAAATAAAGGAATCTATTATTAAGAGAAGATGTTACTCTATGAAGACTATTTTACGAGTGATACTTCTCCTTCATCATCATTAATTCCTAGTTCAATATTAGATGGAACTGTTTACGATATTATCTTATTATCACCATCACATACACAAAAAGATTACAAACAACAATATACATCTATTATTAATTGGCTTGATAATAGGCTTGTGAGTCAATTTACAAAAAAAAAAAAAAAAAAAGAAATAACAAACTGATTTTTTTCTAAAATTCAAACAGAAAAAAAAATAATTAAACTCAACTTAATTCTTTCTTTTATTTTAAAGCCAGTTCATACATTACCTGTTCATACATGTACACAACAAATAAATACAACAAATTCATCATCATTTGATAATCAAATATTACGTGAAACACTTCTTGAACTTGATCGTATTGTTGAAAAAGATATTAAAGAATTAGAAGCTGAATGTCATCGTCATGCTACAAATCGTACACAAACAACAAATCGTTCGGGACATACAACACATCAACAACGTTCACGTTCAGTTGATTCTCGTCGACATCTTCGACCACCACCACGACCTCCAACATCATCTTCAACAGCTTTAGCACAAGGTATTAATACAACAACATCATCATCACATACAACAGATGAACATCGTCTTTATGAACGTCGTATGCAAATGGAAAAATCTATAACAACACGTACACGTTCAGCACCAAGACTTAATATAATAACAAATGATACAATGAGTACATTACGTAAAATAAATACAACCGGTGGTGGACCAATAACAATGTTATATAAAATTCCACCACCACCATTTTCACGGTCTAGTAGTTCAAGTTCACTTACAACGGAAACAACACTTCGTGTATCAAGTCCAGAACCAGATGAACATGAACCACTTAAACCATTGTATATAACTGAAATAACTGTACCACCAAAACCAATTGTACATGTTCATGAACCAAGAAAAACAACTGTTGTTACAATAACAGATAAAACAGAAATTGAACGTCGTAATCGTGAAATTGAACGTCTTGAACAAGAACGTCGAACATTATTATCTGAAAAAGAAATTTTATTAAAAGAAATTGATCGATATAAACATCGACCAGGTAAAATATTTAAAAATAAGAAATTTTCTTTTTTTTTCTATTTGTTTTTAACAAAAAATAAAAAATTAAAAAAAAAATAATAATAATAATAATTTTCATTAGTTATAAAAATTCCTGAACAAAAATCTACATTTGTTAATATAATAACTGATCATGAACATATTGAACAAACACATACTCATCATTTACCATTATTAAAACCACAAACACGTGAAGTTGCTATGCAACATATTGTTGAAGATGAAAAACCACCACCATTACCACCTAAACAACGACAACAACGTGATGTTGCTATAAGTCATAGAACAGAATATGATGATGATGATGAAAAACAAGCAGAAATTGTTCGAAGAAAATTAGAAGAAATTAAAAATTATTATACTGAACGTATACATTATCTTGAAGATCGTATATTTGAACAAGAAAAAGATATTGATCGTTTAACAGAACCTAAAAGTCAACGACATGTTAATACACAATGTCAACCAACAATGCAAGATCGTGCACTTGTTACTGATACATTTCGATCAGGTAAAAAAAAAAGTGTTTTTTGTTTTTCAAATATTTAATTTTCTCGAAATTTTACTAATATATATCTTATAATATTTAGTTCGTGATGTGGCATTAACATGTCATCTTCAACCAACATTACCTGGTCCTGTTACACATCGTGATGTTAATCTTCAATGTAATAAATATGATTTAATACAACAACGTGATGTATCAATGGAAGTTTTACCAGATATACCAATAAAACGTGATGTATCAATTGGTGTATCAATTGATATTACATCGGATAAACATTATCGTGATGTTGGTACTCATGTTAATTTTGATTATAAACCTGAAATACGTCAACGTGATGTTGCTGTTATGATTGTACCTGAACCTATACAAAAATTTGATCGATCATCAAATACAAATATTATACAAACAAGAGAATTTGGAGCTTTTGCTAATACAATGTAAGTTCTATTGATAATTAAAGAAAATTTTTTCGATGTTCTACAAAAAAAAAATCATATAAATCCTTCTTTCTTTTTGTTGTTGCTCTTCTCTATGATAGATCAAATATTTATTTTTCTTTTTTCTATAATAACAAAATGAACAATTGTTATTATTTTCATTAATTCGAGTCTTGAAGCAAAATATATCATAGAATCAAATAACACCATATGGAGAAAATGTCTTATTAATTATTCTAATGATGTGTTTTTCTTTTTTTTTTTGCCAAAAATTAATTATATTTATTATTTAGTGAACCACCTAAACCTCCACCAAAACCATCAATGCGTCCAGCTGCTACAGATACACGTAATTTAATCATACAAAAAGATACAGCATGTGGATCTGATGAAACTAAACGAGCATGTGATACATCAACAGATACATTATCACTTATATCATTACATGATCGTGCTAGTGGACTTGATTTTCCACCTGAATTACTTTCACGTCATGTATCAACAGATACACGTACATTAATATCTACACGTGATAATTTTTCAGCAACAATACCTATTACACCACCAATTCAAATTCATGCACAAACACAATCTATACCAACTATACAACATCATACATCATCAAATACAAATCCACCAGCTGAACAACGACATACAGGTGTACAAGTAAGTTATATTGATTTAATCAAAAGAAAAAAAAACAAAAGAATTTTGTTTTTATCTAGGCTGTTCAAGAACAACCATTAGTTAAACATAGTACCACATCAACTGATATAAATATATTTCATCAAATAGGTCATTTAAAACATAATATATCAAATACAGAATTCAAACGATCAACAGATCGTTCAACAACAACTGAACGTCAACAATTATGTGATTATGGTATAAATACTGAACCAAAAATAATGTATTCAAAAGATGTTGGTGATTATGATGTACGTATTAATCCAAATGAACAATTAAGAGAATATAGTGCACATGAAGAATTTACATGGAATACAATATATGGACGACGTCCACCATTACATAGTCAACGAACAACATATGAATGTGGATTTCAAACAGATTTATATGATACTAAACGTGAAGTTGGATATATTGAAAAATCATTAAAACAACATGAAGATATGATTGAAGAACAACGACAAGAAATAATAACATTTCGTGTACCTAAACCATCATATGAAACAACAACTGAAGAAACATATGAAACAATTGTAACAACAGAAAAAAAACCTCGAATAGAAAAATTTGAAGAAATACGACATGATAATATTGATACAACAATAATTAAAAGTGAATTAAATGAATGGAGACGATCATTAGATACTAGTAATATAATGAAAACATCAATTGATAATATAAAACAAGAACGAATACGTTCTCGTTCACCAGAAGAACTTGTTGAAGAATCTTATGAAGTTGTATCAACACTTACAAAACCTATTGAAACTGATTATTTAATTACATCAACAATACCAAAATCAAAACAACAATATATTGATTTAACAACAGGAAAACTTCCATCAAGTGAAGATGATAGTTCATATTGTGAAGAATGGACTGTTACTGAAGCTAAACGTAAGAAAGATGGACAAACAGTTAAAACTATTATTGAAAGGTAAAAAAAAACATCTGAAGAGAATCTTTTGTTCATAGTGTTCTTTTTTTTTCTTTCCTGTACAATACGATTTGAAAGAAGTGTTGAAATCTGTAGGATAGGCATATCTTTATTTCATCCTCCCCTTATAGACAATACTAAAATTGTTAACATAGAACCTTCACAAACAATCATAGACATTATCATGAAACCTTCACAAACAATGACAGATATTAATATAGAAACGTCACAGACATTGACAGACATATTCGAAATAGCTCATCACATACATGACAGACATTGAAGTAACACTTTTCTCTTTCCATATCACAAATCATGGCAGACATTATTGATATACAATCAATAACTTCTTATTGTAATATAATAAGAATATTTTCTAAAGTATTTTAGTAAAAGAATTGTATTTTTAAATTAATAGAATAAAATTTACGTTGCATCTACTTTTCTATAGTTTTTGTTTGTATTAATGAACAAATTCTATTATGATAGTTAATATGGAAAGATTGATATATAATATTAGAAATTAATTTTTTCTGGTTGCTACTACTTTAAGCACATATATCTGACATTTGTCTTTATTAAAGCAGCTGAAGGTCGACTAATTGATATTATATAATTGAAGATATCCAAAAACTAATTTGCTTTTCTTTTATTTTTATCTATAATAACAAACAAAATGCCTGTCAGTCATCTCTGTTTTATATTCAAAAATGATATAGTTAGCTTTTAATTTATTAGCTAAATGTCTATAGACAAAAACAAAAAGTAAAGTTTTCTTATTATTCGAGATTACATCATAAAAACATTATCTAATTTATCTTTAATTAAATGAATTTGTATTTTTGAAAATAAATACAACTTGAGACTTATTTAAAAATAATTCATTACTTCTCCTAAAATGCTTTCTTTACACCTTCTATATTTACATTATAATTCTTTCAAGATAATTGAATTATAATCTTCATGTATATCAAAACTATATATATATATACTTCGAAGATAACATTGTCTAATAGAATCATATCGGTATATGTCTCATAGAAATTATTTCTCAACTCCTCCATAGCTCGATAATGTATCTAACTATACGATCTTAATAAGCATGTTTTAACGTATCTTATAATAAGATCTATGACGTGCTAATAACAGATGAATATGTAAATGAAAAAAACTAATGTAAGGGAGCATCCATATAGTTTAGAAACTCGATCTTAGTTTTAAGAAACAACGAAAATTGAGATGTTTTGTCGAAAGACAAAAAAAAGATTGAAATGGTACATTTTCTAGAATAGTTTCTGATCCTTATTATTACTTTCAAATTTCAATAATGAATAATACAAAATTTTGTTTTTTTATTTAAACTAACTTTTTTTAAGTTTTTGCGAAAAACAAACTGAAATAAAATTTTTCAATCATCAATTTTCTTTTTATATCTCATAATTCAATTATTTATCTATAAATAAACATTGAAAAAATATTCAATTTACATTATTTTTTATTGTTATATATAGAGGTGGTCATCATCGTTATAATATCGATGCTGAACATATAACTACTTCATCAAAAGATCTAGCAACAGAAACTTCAACTCAATTACGACATTATTCAGAGTAAAATTTAATTTATACTTTTTTTTTTTAAATATTTAATATATGTTATTTATTTAATAGTGAAACAAGTAATGTTAATCTTGGTACACAAATTCGTGAACATGAAGAAGTAACTCAATTATCTCCATCAACTGTACGTAAAACAACAATGTATGAAGCTCATCGTACACTTGGTAGTGGACAACCTGCTCTTGGTGTTACATCAACCGGTTTTCGTATATTTCCAACAGTTAGTAGTACTCATACAAAACAAGAAGCAACTAATGAACAAAATGTTGAAGAAAAATATGAAGTTACTTTATCATCATATGATGAATCTGGTTTACGAATGCTTTCATCTGAGCCAATGAGACTAACATCTACAATGGAAGAAGAGTATATTTTATTTCTAATCTATTTATTTATTTATTGTTTTTCTTTTTGTCTTCGAAAAAAAAAAATAACAAATAGATTTAAACTTGATGAAGAAATGTATATTGCATGTGCGATTGTTAATGAATCACTTTATGATAAAAATGCCGATAAAAAGAAAGTGGTAAATATATAAATTTAAATTATTTAATGAAAAATGATTTACTTTTAGCATAATTGTCTTCAATTGATTCAACAAGAATGGTTTCGTATATCGAGTCAAAAAGAAGTAAATGGTCGTTTAGTCAATGGTTATTTGAACAGTATAAAAGAACATTTTTCAAATTTTTTACTTGAACGTATTGTTAATTTACAAGATGCTAATGTAAGTTTGTTTTTGTTTTGTAATAAAAAAGTCATTTTTTTTTATTAATTAGGGAAACACTGCTCTTCATTATTGTGTTACTAATGGTCATTGGCATGTAGTTAATATGTTATTAGATACAAAAGTATGTGATGTATGTTTACAAAATAATGCTGGATATACAGGTAAATAAAAAAAACAATACTATACACTAGATTTTTCATAAAAAAATTTTTTTTTTCTATTCAATTGAATTTAAGCTGTAATGATGGCTGCAGTTATTGATATAAATAATAATGAACAAAAACAAATTGTTCGTCGTCTATTTCGTGAATCAGGAAATGTTAATGTTAAAGATACAGTTGTATGTTATTTTATTATATTTAATTTGAAATAAAAAAAAAAAAATTGTTTTGTTTTGTTTTTTAGAGTAATCAAACAGCATTAATGCTTGCTGTTAAACATGGAAAAGTTGATTTAGTTGAATTATTATTAGAAAATGGTGCTGCTGTTAATTTACAAGATATTGATGGTTCAACAGCATTAATGTGTGCTGTTGAACATGGAAATATAAATATTGTTAAATTACTTTTAACAAGACCTGAATGTGATGTTAATATAACAGATAATGTAAAATAAAGGATTTTTTCTTTTTGATTTTTGAATTTCATAAGAAAAAAAAACTTGTTTTTTTCTCAGGATGGTCAAACAGCTGTTACTATTGCAACAATTAAAGATCGTAAAGATATTTTAGTTGCATTATATGCTAAAATGAAAGAACGAAAAGGACATCATTCGGTAAGATAATCTTGTTTGTTATCTCAAAATATAAATATGCATGTATCCTATATAAAATACCTTTTCCCATGCATTCTATATGTGTGTTTGTGTATGCTGGCTTTCTAGGCATTAGGTAGCAAGCCTCGTACCACAAGTAGCTCGACAACGAGCAGATTACCAATACCTGACAGGTAACATTAATTTATTCAATATGATATATATGATTTACGTAGTTAAATAACATAGAAGAACAATAAGCTTTTCTTAAAATTCTTTTCTAACATATGGCTATTAAATAATTCTCTTTTTTTTTCTTTTGTTCTTATCAATGAATAAAAAAAAAAGAAAAAATCAAATTTATTCTTCACATTAAGTGATTCATCAAATGTTAAACTCAAGATGAATAAACAATATCAATCAATGATCAGATTTATTATGTTTATTATATTACTAAATATATTTGCTCTTTTTTTTTATTTATTATACGAATGAGAAGGTTTGCTTTAATAATTAATAATAAAAACACTCGATTTTTCCATTCATATCCCTTACCTCTGATTAATCGTTCTTTTTTTTTTTTTGTTTATTTGCTTGGTTTTGTTCTTATTACTAACTAATATGTTTGATTTTTGCTTCAAAAAAAATGTTTTTTTTTCAAGAAAAACTTAAAATTTTTCTTTTTTTTAGATCTACCATGAGCAGTTCGAATTTGAAAACAACAACAGAAACAATGAGCACTTCTTCATCTAGACGAAGTGGTGGTTATGACTCGAGTAGTAGTACGGGTCCAACTGTATCAAAATTTCGACGCTATTAAAAGTCTTCTCATTCACTCTTTTTTGTTTCTTTTTTTTTTTAAATATATACATTAGGCTAAATTTGTTTTTTGTCATTTTATACCCTTTCTGAAGAAAAAGCCTAGTCCTGTTCTTTATATAATTTTTTTCCTTTTTTTTTTTGTTGTCAAATGATCGGATTGAAAATATGTAAACATCTTGATTATTTGGCAATATATAACTTTCGCTTTTTGACCTCTTTTTTTTTTGTTTTAAGTCTTTTTTTTAATGGTTATCGTTCACATTATTTGTGTGGAGAAAAGAGAAAATGGGTATATATATATATATATATATATTAATAGATCAGAGAAAATATATATGAAATACATAATTTCTTTTTTTTTTTTTTTAGAAAATGAAATTTAAGATAAGAATTTATTTATTAGAAATTTTTCATATATAAACTAATTCATTAAGAATAAAATATATACAAAATGAATTATAAAATAATACTACGACAAAAAAGCAATTGAAATATATCTAAAATGATATTGATACAAATAGTAAATTTTTAAAAATTATCATTTTCAATACTGAAATTCATACGTCATAAAATAAAACATACAATTATAGATCTTTAAGTATCAACTTCCTTGAAAAAAAAAATCAATATTTCAAAATTTTGTAATCATTGATTTTGAACCAAATTATCATAAATTTTTCTCTATGTGTATATAGTTCATAAAGTTTGTTTTGATTTATTCATATTATTTTCTTATATGACAAGTACAAATTATCCTTGAATCATTTTATATCTATTGTTCTTCTTAATAATAGGTAAATTTTCTTTTATGATACGAACAATAGTATTTAATTGTAATGTTTATTCATCTGAGTAGTCAAACTTTTTTTTTTTTTTCTTTCATACGCATGAACGATTTGAGTATTATTGAAATGAAGGTCAGGTGATATGGACAAATCTTGAAATCTTTTATCGATCTTAACCATTTAAATTTCTTGTTTCATCACTTAATATTCTTACTTATATACTTGAATTATTGTTCAAGCGTTAGTATTTCTTGTTCAATTACATGTAATATATTTGAATATTAGAGAAGTTTTTTTTCTTCTAATGTTTTAACCGTTCTTTGAATGTCAACATTGACCTTGGAATGTTTTGATGATGTTTATCGAAATGTAATTACTAAAAGAAAATATTCTGACCTATCATTTTATCTAAAGAAAAAAAAAAAAAGGTCTAATGACAAAACAGAAATATTTGACAGGAAAATATTATGAATATATAACCTTAATCATCGAAGGCAAAAAACAAAATTTTCATTGATAACGCTACCGAAAACGATGAAAATATAAAAAGTATGATAAATTGTTTAAATCTATCAAGCTCATGGAAGAATACTACAGGATTGATAGATTTAAGTTAAATCTGAATGAATCAAAACAGAGATATTTCATTCTTTTTATCATTGTGATATGTATAGTTCATTCTGAATTTTGATAAAAATTCAAAATGATTTATAGTACATTGTAATTGAATTATAATAACCTTTAATGTTGTAATGTTCAATTTGAGAACTTAATGAAAATTACTTCTATTAGGTGTTTTATAAAAAAATGAGTCTCACGGAAATTTAGTTTATTCGAAGTTGAATAATGTAATAGATTTAAATTTTGAACTATTCAATGATTCTTTATCGTTGAAAGAAAGAAATTTCTTCTGAAACTAATTTTCCATTAATTCATAAATATGATGTTTTATCCTACTCATGTTGAAAATTTTAAACTTCATATCCATCAATCAACGTAAAACTGATGTCCGATTAACTTTTTCTCTTTTACCGATAAAAAGTTATTAGATATTGAAAATTCCAAATTTAAATTATACTGATACAATCTATTCTAACGTTCGGCCTTGAATATATATTATTTAGAAATATAATAATTAATAGTTGTATTACAAAAAACGTCTGAAGTAAAAAAAAAAAAACTACTATTTATTTTGTATCGAACTAAAGTTTAGATTTAGTACGTAATTGTGTAACAACAAAATTACCTTGAATAATATACATATACATAATTATATCTTTACTTGTGATATCTTTTTACGATTTATCTTTCAAGAACATCAATAAAATATTTTAAATGACTTGTCATTTATCTATCAGTCATTCAATACGAAATATTTTTCTTCAAGGAATCATTTACACATTCTTATAAACAGCTATATTCATATTGCTTCTCTTCTAACAAAAAATTACAAGAGAATCGAAAGATATCTGTGTTATGGTCAAAATTAAAATTTCAATTTTGACTACTAGACAAAATTGAAATTTTTTTGATGAACAGAAGAAAGTTAACTTATCAATGAATTTGTTTTTATTTTATAATAGTCTTAAACAAATATCCGATCAATTCTCAATTAATTTAGTCTATGTTTGAGTATCCATTCTTTGAATGACATTTGCTAAAGCAGAAAAATTTTTTTGCATGGATATGTCTTAGCGGTACATTTCTCTCCAAAATTACAAGTATGTTCCGTAGAGCCCATTGGATTCGATCCGGATCCGAATCTTCTCGAGTCTGAATATAAACATTTGAGTTTGATCAGGTTCGGGTATAAAAATTTATATTTTTTTTTTCGTTTTATTCACAAAACCATTGGTTTATTTATAAAGAATGAAAAAAAAACAGCAAAACTCTTCCTGAATATGATATCTAAACTTAGTTTCTGTCGGGTGCGGGTCTAGAAATTCTTGGATCCAATGGAATCTAATGTCCGCCTGTAGAACCACAAGAATAAAGCTTTGAAATCATGTATCATTTTTGAAAAAATAATGTATTTATGAAAATTAATTTGTCAGTATGAGACTTGAGAAGATACATTTATACCCGAATCATTTGCGAATTTAAAAGTTGCCTAATTCAATGAATTCAAGTATAGTTATCATTATCGAAGCTTGAAAACTTTATTCTCGTGATTTCACAGCCAGACATATTTGTAATTTTGGAAATAAATGTACCGCGAAGACATATCCATGCAAAAAAAAGTTTTCTGCTTTAGCAAATGTCATTCCAAGAATGAATACTCAAACATAGACTAAATTAATTGAGAATTGATGCAATATTTGTTTAAGACTATTGTAAAATAAAAACAAATTCATTGATAAGTTAACTTTCTTCTGTTCATCAAAAAAATTTCAATTTTAATTTTGACCACAACATATATATATGTATTTTTGTATAAATCTTTGTACTTTTTTTAAAATATAATTATTAACAAAAAAAAAAACTTTTTTTTTTTTCTAAATAAATATAATTCTATGATGATGGATTAATTATTTTAACTTGATCATTAGGTCCAAATAAATTAATATGTAATTGCCAAGGTAATGGACAACCTTCTTTTATATCAATTTTGATTTCATAATTTTTTTTTGTTCGATAATTATATAATGATATTAAACCTAATTGACAATTTAATATTAAATCAACTATATCTTTTGTACACATATCAGAATCATAACCACCATAACCTTGTATTAATGTTGGTATACCTTTTAAATAAACTTGTTTTTGTCCAGACCATCCATAAGATGTTGATAATTCAAATGATTTTTCTTGCATTGGACTACCTGACCATATAATACCAATAAATGTATTATATTTATCAATTGTTTCATGTTTAAGTATTAATTTAATACGATTAATACCTGTTGAATAAACATTTATACCACGACATTCAGCATATCTATAATTATTAGCATGTTTAACAATAAGACCATTTTCATCAATTATAATATGTCCACATATTTTATTAAATTTTTCATATCGATATATACCATCAATTAAATTTAAATCAATATTAAATTGAATACAAAATGAACGAAAACGTTCACGTTCAAATTCATCATTTGGTAATATAAATACTTGACGTATTGATGATGACCAATTACGTAATTGATTTAATAAATATTGAAATAAATTTGGATCACAATCAAAAAATAAACGTCCATCATTATCATGTGTTAGATTTTCTGACCATGGATTTATACAAGCAAGTGCAAGTACACTATTTGGTATACGCATAAGTGTTGATCGTCTTGTTGTCATATGTGTACCACCAATATTAAGTAAAATAAGTGGATCATCATCAATTGATATACAAAAAGGAGACATTATTTTAGATTTTATTTTTGATGATGCTGATAATAATCTAGTACTATTCGATACTGTAGTATCTTTATCATCGATTATATTTTGTGTTGTTTCTATTATACTATTATTCATTATTTTACAAAATGTTGATAGATTTTTCTTTTTTTTTCTAGTTGAAAGAATAACAAAAAAAATATATAAATAAACAGAATTAAAAACATGCCATTATTGCTATTCTATCAAATAAAATTCATTCGATGCTAAAAGTTCGTCATGACAATTATTTACTATTATATAGTATGAAATTCAATTACAAAGATGTCGTCGAGTCTTTTTTAGATTATTCAAATACGGTTAGTTAATATAAAATCTAATAGAATGTTTTGATTTAGATAAAAAACAAAAAAAAAAAATTACATTCATTAGAATTAATGTTATTCCATAAAAATGTTCTTTCCATTGATTTATCTTAAAGCAATTAAAAAAATCAATGTTTTTATTTTTAAATTAATATAATTTAAAAACAAAAAATACAATATCTATATAAAATTTATTTGATTACTAGTCTGAAATATCTTGCTAATGAATTAATTGAATAGATTCTTTATCGTAACCATAAATAAATATCACCATCATGTATACGATATTGATGATTTTGTTGAATATTTTGTGCCCATTCAATAAGTTCAAAATTTTTCTCATCATCATCATCATCATCATCTTCGTCTTCTTCATTATTTTGAAAACGAAAAACAATACTAATTAAATATTTTTCTAATCGATCAATAAGATATTGACAACTATCAAGATTATCAATTGGAATATCAAGATGTTCAATTTGAGGAAACATTGTACAAAATGGTTCAACATTAACAAAATGACCATAATTATCTTCGGATTGTAGAATATTTAATGAATGTAAACATTTTAAATATTGTAAAAGAG